AGAGGGAAGAAGCTAGGAAATTTCAAATAAGGACTTCCAAACGTTATTCACATTTAACCGCAATTAAACCGCAGGGAAAATTTCGTTTAAGTGAGTTTCCTCGAAATACTAATACTATTAAAGTGCTATTACATCAGGAAGTTCGTAATTAACAACTATTCTTCGAAAGATTAAATCTAATCGTTCAATTAAAAAAAAATAAAATTTTTCTCGCACGAAAGATATCCTCTACGAATTCGTGTCGGCGAGCTGAAGTTCACTTACGAACCTAAAAGTAATCCAATCTACTTAAACGATTAAAGTAATTTGTGACGATGAGATACACGAATATAAACCGCAACTAAGTAACTTATAATCATGTGTAATCGCGTAAGTGCTTGGTTCGTTAGGATCAGCAAAAATCTCGGACCATTTTGAAGATATTTTTTTTCCCCTCGCTAAGCAAAAGAAGAAAATTCTTCTATATTACATATCCAATTACAACATGAGCGCCGGCCGCATAATATTCACTGCGAGTTGCAGATCTGTATCTCGCACGTGTTCGCCTAAAGTTATTTACTGTTTGAATTTCAAACTTATAATTTTAAAATATTTATTCGAAAAATTATCACTCGTATAAAAATATTATAATTTAATTCACAATTCTATTTTAATTTGAATAAACGTATTGAAAAGTATGTATCACTAGCGTTCCATCTGGCAAAAAAATGAACTTTTAAGAAATTTATTTTAACAATGAATAAATTATAATATTAAAATATAACAATGTATCGTAAGTTATAATCTATATTGATCTGTAATTTTACATCAATTCAATTAAATTTAAAAAAATATATAACATTCAGTATTACATTAAAAACATTTTATTAATAGTATTCATATATTTTCCAAAAAGATATTATAATTATATATTATAATTGCGAAATAAAAAACTGTACAAGAAGAAATTTGCGATTAACTTTCCAAAAAAATACACGATACATGTCAGATAAATAAATAACAAAGTAAAGAAATAAATAAAAATAAATAAATATAACAAACTGGTGCATATTCACATAACTAGATTAAAACGACATTTGCAATGTGAACAATTTTATATAAAAGCGATACGAAAAAGAAACAAAATCCAAACGTGAAAATCGCGGAGACATCGCATTTAAAGAGTAGCACGATTCCATACGAAAATATGATTTTCGCTTCCGCGGAAAAAACTACTACCCACGCGTCTAAATTTGTAATAATTAAAAACATGATAACGAGTGAAAAAAAAGATATGCGACTGCAATCTTCGTCCGCGTGTAATCAGAACGCAAAGCATCGTTACACGAACAGGCTGTTCCGAACACTGACATTTTCATTTCTCTGCTCATATCCTCCTCTTAATCCTTTCACGATTAACAAAAAGATTCATTAGATTCTGTCATTATTTTTGTATCAAAATTGGCGAAACATCCATTTTAAAACACCGCATCGGAAAAAAAACAATTGTATTCTGCGCGAATAATTTTGGTACTTGTATAACTAGAATATAAATATTTATAAATGGGACTGACATGAAAATAAATGATAAAATATTTCACGTGCGAAGAATTTTTAGATTTTTCGAATATTCGAAAATAACGGAACAACAACGATGCCGATTGAAACAACATAGGATTGTTTGATTGAATACGTTTGTACGTACAACGGTATCACACGCATCCCTCGTATACTATATACGTACAGATATCGTGTGTACATTCGATTGGCCAGCTCCGTATTTCCCAGCGATTACTCAACTCGTGGAAAATGTCAAGGGGTTCTCGTCGTAGCTCCATGGCGTGCATGAGGACGTACTCTGGTTGGCGATCAGCCAAAAACGTCGACGGGAGTCTCAGGCCGCAGGCGCGTTTCCATGCGCCAAGGAGACATAATTAAACTAACAATGTCGCGAGAACCGCTTCCGCCACCCTCGCCCCCCCCCTCCCCGGTCTCGTCTCGTCCTCTTTCTCATATGACACGAATCTCGTTTAATGACGACGGAAATTTTGGTTTGCGCTCTCTCGTCCGAGAGAGGATTTCCACTCTAAAACTCTAAGCAAATTATGAAAGTAGCTAGAGAAAAAATAGAACAAGGCTGATGCGCACGGTGTGTGCCAGAAAAGTGCAAATTACGAGTGCGAGGTTCTATTAAAAGAAATTTAATGTTAGATTTGATTAAGGACAATTAATGCTTATATATGAAATGATATTCAACGTTGTAATATTTAGAAACGTAAAAAAATATTGATTTGCAGACCATATATTCGTTATTTCAAAAATGTAAAAAGAGAAATATATAATTTTATTTTTTCCAGAGAAATCATTTAGTTAGATATTTTTCGTTAGAAAGTATGATATGTTAATCCTTATTATATAAGACATATTTAATTGCTTTTTTTTTTTAGATATCTTCTCGCTGTAGATTTAAAAAAATGAGAAACAAGCTCCACAAAGTATATTTGTAGTCCAAAAGGGATTAAGGTGCCGCAAGTCAAACTCAGTAATCCCTTCGAGAGAATTGTTTTTACAAAGACTGCCATCTGTATTACGTCAGGATTCTACGACGAAGCAAAAAATCCAACGAGCAAGATATCGAACGTCGAGCACAAACGAAGGTTATATTCTCCGCCGGTATTCTCTAGCTATCGTTTAAGGGTAGTTCTCTATTCGGTTCTTTTCACCCTCCGCCAGGTGGCGGAAGGCGGAGTTCCATCGATAAGGGTTACTTTGCAGACTTGTATCTTCCGTGGCAAATCATTAACTTATACTATTAGCTATAAATCGAAAGATCTAAATGCAAATATTTTTAATGAAAAAAATTTTTTGAATTTTATATAACTTCCAATTTGCAAAATCCTTAATCTTTGGATTCTTAAATTCTTGCTTTTTTACGAATACGTTCGTAGAATTAATTTATTTTTAGATGTTTTCTCGAATATCGAATTATAAATGTCGTGATTCAAAAAAAATCAATAAATCCTCGAAATATTTAAATTCATCGAATCACTGAATTATTAAATCCGCAAATTCTTATCTTTATAAGTTTTCAAACGAGAATTATCTTTGAATTATCGAATTTAGAGATCTGTAAATTAAAAATTTTACGCATCTGTACTGATGTTTTGATGAAGATTTGAAACTACTATGAAACAATGGAATTGTAGTTGCACATTGAAACTTAAAAAGCAACCTAATAAAATCAAAACGAAAGAGGCACATGAAACCTCAACAAACAACCCTTGTCGCATGCTGTGATAAACCACCAAGCCTTCAGCGGATAACAACGAGATCAGAATAGAAACAGTCGTCACGAGCCTTTTTTATGATGGAAGCAACGCAAATTCATTGTTTTGTAAAGCTCACACACACACACACACTATATGCTCCGATCTCATAGAACCTACTTTGACACTACATATATTTCCTCGACGCGACGCGCTTTTACGATTCCGCCGGGCCTACGCCGGTAAAATCTCAGCAACGAGGTGAAAAGAGAATGGGGATGGGACGCATTGGAGAACGAAGAGGGAAGAAATCTATCTCCCGTAGGAGAACGGGATGAGTTTGAACGAACAATAAAAGAGAAACGAAACGTTACAAGACACATAAACGACACCACGAACACAGCCATGACGTCGAATAGGAACGAGTGTGGAAACACCAATAAAGGAGTTGAACAACTTGATAGTAAAACAATGATACACTAGAGGAGACGAGAAGAAAAGCACGCAGAGAAAAAGCATGCGAGAAAACCATGAAGAGCAACGAAGGATAAGCTAAAAGAACAGAAGCGAGAGAAAGAGAAAGAGAAATCAAGATCGTTTACTAAAATACTAAAATTGTAATTGTAATTGTAATCTTTATTATATCATTATTCTTTTAGATTTCAAAGATTTACGAGTTCTTTTTAGCTCTCTCCTTGAAGCTGCTTTTGGTTGTAAAAATTCGTAAAGTTATATAAAGTATTTCCATAATGAAAGCAACCAATGGAAATTCGAAAGAGATCTAGAACGAAAAAAAGGCAGCAAGAAATCTAAAAGAAATTTAAAGAATCTCCGAGAGAAAATTGTTAGAGCGCCTCTATTGGATGTCATTTCTAGTTTACATTTGGGCAGACAGCAATAGACACTCCTCCCTCGCGTTTGCTTTTTCTCTCATTCAACAAAATCGTTTGCCAATTAAGTACAACCTTTCCTTCTTCTTCTTCTTCTTCTTCTTCTTCTTCTCAGAACTAACAAAGTCAATAGAGGGAAATGGAAATAAACGGAACACGAAGGAGAAAAAGACAGAGAAACGGACAAATGGAAACACGTATGGGAAGATTCAGCGGTGCTGTGCAGCACAGGTGACGCCGTCCACGATGTAAGAATACCAACTGCAACATCGCACATAATGGCGACATGATATATATTAAACATCTGCCTCGAATTCGAACGCAAATTTAAAATCTCGAGGGAGCTATTACATCACGCTCTACTCGATATACAAACTTACACTCGTTCGCTCTGTTCTGCTCTAGTAATTCGCATAATTGTATATTCATACCATGTTTCGCACGATTATATCATTTACCCACGAAATGTTGGTTGGAAATAAAATACGTTAATACTATAGGACAAACTCCCTCGATTAAGATTGTTGTTAATTGCAATATTTAATTAACTGATTTTTTTCTCATTTCGTTCTCAGGTACAATACAAATTTTATCGGTTTCAACGTAGTATTAAATGTTCGTTACAGATAACATATACATAACATGTATTTAATGTTGTTAATTAATTTCAAAATGTCAATTAATTCAAAACTTCGTTTTTTTTTTAGAAAAATAGACTGAAATATAAGATTGATACTTTCATCATTTCGCAAAAATTCAAATCAAATGAGCTTCATCAACTTGAGTCCAAGTTGAGTCTATTCAGAAGATTTATCTATTATTGGACAAAAGTAGCCTCGAATATAAAAGTAATTCGTTTCTTGTTTTTCTTTTTTTTTTTTTAGTTTTTCGAAGAAAATAAAGACAATATTTGGCACCACCTTTCAACTTTAAATGGAGATGTATGCGGTATTCTTGCACAATGGGCGGCAGGTTGTGCCGCGACAAATAACGACAAACAACTCGGGAGACGGCAAGACGGTGAGGTCGCGGCTTACCTGCCGGAACTGTCGTATGCCACCATTGATCCGCAGTGAGTCCGCGGCGATGCCGGCGATCCCGTCGCCGGGCTCGCGGAGCTGCCGCAGCGAGGCGGCGCTCGGTGCCGCACCGGTGTGCAGCGGGCAGCAACAGCCGGAGCAACAGCACGCGGACGCTTCCGGCTGCGAGCTCTGCCGTATTATGCGGGCGTTGGGCGACGTGGTGACCAACACCGGCGGCGGCGGCGCCTGACACGGGCAGCAGTGATGGCCGCTCTTCACGCTCTCTCTTTGGAAACAGAAAACATTATATGCGGTTTTTACAGACACACGTTACACGTTACACGTTACACGTTACACGTTACACATACACACAAATTCCGAAAGTTCAATTCGCCTAAAATTCAATTTCCTCTTCTCGCAAAGCAAGCGTTTCCCCGAGCAACTTTAACCCGATTGAGAACTTTATTTGACTCGTTTATCGAAACGCCTCTTCGGCAGTTAGTAGCCAGTAGTTTTTCGGAAAAAGAAACTTCGCTGGCGACCGACAAAGTAATCGCTAATCGCACTTTCGAGATAAATTTAAGATAAATAAGCGATGAAGAGAAATGAAGCGAACGAAGAGAAATAAGCAATGTTAACATATCTCGTAAAGTGAAAGTATAAATTTTCATAATAAATATCAGAGAAAGAACAAGAATGAAAATGTAACACGCGCTACAGACATTCCTAGTCTTTTCTTGTTCTTCAAAGAGTTAATGTTAATAATCGATTGTTTAATTTCTATTGTTAGGAAGCTCCACTAATTTTTGTCTTTTCATTTTATTTCTACAGTAGAAAAAAAATAAAATTAACTTTTATCTTCAATATTGCACCGTTCTCATTTGCTGAAGATGTTTCTTCAACTTTTTGTTTTTGAATGTATTAATATTGAGCGTAAGTTAATACTTAGCTACTGACTTTTTTTTAATATGATTAATATCAAGCTGACATCAAAGAATATTAAATGGAGAGAAAAACGAGAGAAACCAGATTCTAAAATATAATAATTGCCACGATGGCTGCTCTCATGTCGTTTATAGTGTCTGAAAATTGTACGGTTGATATAGTTTCACGGCTGGCGTGGACTATAAAGTTAAACTGATAGTCTCAAATACATGATCCGATATTGCACATGGCCCACTCGTCCGTGGATTAATTTCACTGAGAACTGCTTCACCGCCAAATTGATAACGTGCAATTGGTATCTCAAAGGTATTTATCATCTACAAATACGAGGAATAATTATTATGTGAAACTGAGGAACCGCCGAAATAACTTTTAAATTATAAGCAACGTTACAAACTTGTTAATTAATTTTCAAAACTATAACTATAAACTAATTTTCTGAATTACAATAAACAACCAATAAAATTTCATTTAATTTTAATTGTACTTTAATCAAAACATACATTTGCAATCATTTAATTGCTTAATAAATTGTTAATGTTATTGTAATTGTAATGTAATTTCAATTTCTTCATATTTTAAATAAATATAGAATCAATAAAATCAATTCGATCGTCTAAAGAAAGTAAAGACAATCAAGATGATAAATGTGGTATTTCTACGGATATATTTCTTTCTAAAATATTAAGATACTGATAATACTTTGCGCTAAGTGTGCGTTTCACGACTATGTATTTTTACGCGAATCGATCACGTGCAAGTACCTGACACTATTGAATCTCAGAAACGACTAAACTGTTCAAATTCTTAATACATTTAATTAATAATTTGGATTCAAATTGCATCAAAAAAATTTTATTACTTTTATTATTTTTTATTACTTTTCTACCATTCTACGGACGGAGATATTGATGCATGCATGCGACATGCAAAATTGAAATATACAAGATTCATTTTAATCCATCTAGTCGAATATCTTGAAAATTAAGCAGACAAAAATGTTTTAGACAAAAGTTGTATGATTTGAAGGGGGATGGTGTCATTGGTTTAACCTTGGATAGTTTAAAGGTCACTTTTAATTTCTTAAATGGAAACCCCCATTGTACATTGCATATTCTTCTAACTTACTTCGAGAGCTTTTCAAAACATTATAATAAAGTATTTCTTTATTAAGTATCGGAATTTGAATTTGATATACAATTTGGCATAAAGTATAAAATATTTCGTAAACTATTCATTTTTTAGCAACTATATCTTAATATTTTTATGCACAGAATAATGAGATAAATCAATTGATATAAAGAATATACATAGTTGCTGCTTAAAAAAAATAAAAATTTGCAATATGCAACGATGTATTCATCTTATAATTCAAAAAATACTTAATAGAAAATACTTTATTGTGATGTTTTGAAAAACTCTCAAGATAAACTACAAGAATATGCAATTAACAATGAGGGGTTTACGTTTAAGAAATTGAAGATGACCTTCATGTGACTTTCAAACAATTATTCAAGGTTAAACCAATGACACCGTCTTATGTTCCTCTTCAAATCATACAACTTTTGTTCGAAACATTTTTGTCTGTCGATCTCAGTTTCCAAAATATTCGGCAGGATGGGTTAAAATAAATCATCCTATATAAATTTCATATTAAGAAACGCGTTGATTATCTCTGATGACGATATTACAATTGCTTTTGTACCATTAGATGGCTTTAATGATGGTAACTTTCGATTTTTTGATTGATAAACAAAATACACCTACTCATATTTTTGTACATCCACACATATGAAGTCTCTTTTACATATTTGTACATCTCCTCACTTTCACATTCGCATGATTTCACATATTTATTCTTTAACATAGTCGTGTATCTCCACACTTACTTATTCTTATATCTCCTATACGTCCACATATCTGTCGTCTCATATTTTCATACGTTTGTACACCTCCATACCTCCTATCCATATACACTCGAGTTTCATACACTCACATATCTACATTTGTACGCAACCTTAATTTCATTTATCTGAAAATGCAGATATTATATGTTTTTTAGATTGTATATTACTTACAAATATGTTATGTAAGAAAAGAATGATATAATTATAAAAAAATTATCCTTTTTCACAAAAAAAAAGGACCAAATTATATATATATATATATATATATATATATATATATATATATATACTCGATTTTTCCTATTTCGAAGAATTCTTTATAGAAATATTTGTGCTAAAATATTACATAGATATACCGTAATTATAATTGCATTCAGCTAAAAGTTAAAATTTATATAATTAAAATACTATATATTTAAATATTATATGTCATTAAAATATTATGTGTTTTTATAATAGATATACGTTTATTTTAATATCGGGATTATAATTGGCGCATTTTTTCATCTCATTACATTTTCTAGAAAATTGAAACATCTACAATATTTTTTTCCTAATTTAATACACTCTTTCAATTAAAGATAATATTTTTACAGAATAATTTCTTTTTCATAATGAAAACAACATATTTTGTAAAATATTCTTTACGCATTAAAATAACATTTTTTTTCTAATAATTTTTTGTAGTTACAAGTACATTGTACATACACTTAGCACCTTCTTTTTATTTTTTTTTTTTAATATATATACGCGAAATTGTTGATAAAATTATCGCACAAGATTCTGGCAAATGGTTGGATGTAATTCGATCTTATCGATGGAATATGTTTGGTTCATTGTCTAAAACTTCCTTAACTCAAGAGCCCTCGGCTTATAAGACACGTGGTAAGGCCTGTCATCTAGAGATATCATTAACTGTCGCGCACTTCGACCTTCGATGAAAACTGAAGTCCCCTGTCTTCTGAATGGCTTCTTCGAATAACAATGGATCTTTTATTCATGACTCTCGATATACTTATTTTATGTCACAGACATAAAAGACGAGTTTACAAAAGCATAACCTTCTTGATAAATGAATACGATACCATAAAATTACAATATGGTGTACTAGCTACAATACGGTATCAGCCGATCTACCAACAATCTGTTACGCATTTTGCGCGCTGATGTCAAATCTTTCAAAACAAATCTTCGATAATAAATTTCTAGGTGCATAAAACCTTGAATAAATGCTTCAACACAATCTTCAACAAGTAAAGTTTGAATTGATTAAAGTTTTGCTATTCTCACAATCTCACAATCTGTTTTTATTGCAGTCTTATTAACTTTATGTAAGAATGTAACTGCCAATAATTTACTTTTAACTGCAACTCTTTAGTATTCTGCATGTTATTACTGATGTTTAAAACACGCACCAATTGTTCCATTATTTATAGTATGCAAATTGTTTCATTGTCTCCAATTCAACATATATCTGCTAAAAATTAAAATGAAAATAAATTTAATGTCTAATAAATGTAACTAGCTAACTAAGAGCAATCAAGTAGATACAATGCCAGGAAGGTCTAGCGGCTAGGAAGGTCAGCGTAAAATGAAAAGATTCGAAGAGGGTTAACGGCGCGATTTTCACGTCGGGAATTCCCACGTCGGCAATGCCATTTTTTTATATGCCATAGCTCTAGCTCGTGCCGTGGTAATCCCCGGTGTACGTTTTCTAGAACCTCCGAAGGGGTTACAGGACAACGTAAAATTCCGCGGCTCAACTTTTGACCCAGATGAACCCAGGTGAACCGGATCGTCCTAGAAATTCGCGATAGCGACGAGCGCCGGGAAAAATTTCCCGAATCGGCAAAGAGAGAAAGCCCCTTCTGCCTGGACGGTCTCGAGGAAACAAAGGCGTTTCACATTTTTCCGAGAGCGACGCATTTCTGGAAAGACGGCGATTCCTGGCGAATCGCCGGGCGCACTTAGATGAAAGTGGCCGATTCGCAGCCATTTCGCGAATAGAGTCAGCTCTCATCGCGGTCCAGATAAAAAATCCACGCTCTCGTAAACATAAGGTTCCTTGATTCTGGAACGATCGTTCCAGATATTTCCTCCGCGGCAAAAGAGACAAACTGATGCCTTTTAAAGATCCTTCCTCTTGACGCGAAAAAAATGTATACTGTAAGTAATTTTGAAATTGCACAACCGAACGTATACGTACTCGATGTAGAATATCTTCTATATATATATGTGTG